GCCAGCTCAGCTTCAGGATGGACTTTCCCCAAATGTCTATCAGTCATGTCCCCGTCAGACAGCTCTGCTCTCCTGCTCTCACATGTTCCATAGTACCTGTCTTCAAGCATTTGAAGAGTTTTCTTTACGGAAAAGACCTATCTGTCCTTTATGCCGTTCCTGTTATCAGAAGAAAATTCTCAGCTAACGTTTAACAATTTAACGTAAAATTATGAATATATTTGTAGGAGGCCTTAGTAGAAATAATATAAATGTGTTTTAATTGCATTTCAGAGGGGGGGGGATACACAAATTATTTTTTTTCTGATGTGTGCACGTGTGTGAAAACCTAGGAAGTGCTATCCCTAGACTTATTCCAGCCATTCAGGTGGGATTCCAGTTCTGTGTCACTTCCACTGAACGTTTGCATGCATGGACTGTCCCACAGGTGCCAATGAATTGTCAGAAAGGGAGAAAAGCTCCAAATCCCTGGAGAAACCTGGAGAACCAACTGCAACAAAACATTTCTTCATAAACTTTAAGCTAAGCTGAACATGTAATATTCCCTTCTCGTTTTGTGAGGCTTCTGTCCACTAAAACAAGGGCTCTGTATGTACCTATTAGCTAAAGGCAACAGAAAGAATAATTGATGCATTGTATAATGCTTTGCAAAGGTTTGTAATTCTGGCTAGTTTCCTGGTGGAAATCATTTTTGGATGACCAATGTTCTTTATCTGTGTATTTGTAGTTACAGATCAGTGGTTCCCAACATGGGGCCCACGCCCCACAGGGTGGCAATTTGATTTTTAATGGGGGCAATTTGAACCTTGTTTAGACCAAGTTAATGGCCTTTTAGGCTTCCTCCACATGAGTAGAATTCACTGTTTGAGTAAAGTAAGAATTATATGTCACGGGGGGGGGGGAGGCATCAGGATTTTAGAGATGCTTAGGTGGGGCATGGCCAAGAAAAGGTTAGGAACAACTGCTATAGATGTAGTGTCTCTACAAGACAGAGATGAGATTTTTCCATAAAGTTCTTGACTGTTTCACTGCCCCCTCTGCTCAATGTATATTTTAATGGATTGTTTTGGGAAGTGGGAAGAGGTGTTCCTCTTAATTCTATGCAACAGCCAAAGAACATAGCTGGTAATGAGCAAAAGATCTGATTTTGGAAGTGAAAAATAGGGACTCTTCTCCTGGACGTCAGGAGAAGCCTTTTTGCAATTTCTTGTAGACCTTTCTAATGGGAGAACAGTGAGATCATATTTCAAGATGGGGGTAGGATTAATTAACTGAAGAAACCACTAACTTATTTGGGGTGGAGATGCTTTGCCTGGAGCTCAGCTTTTTTTTTTTTTTTTTTTTTTTTTTACAATACTTGCAAGTTTCTATAATCCTGATACTTGTTCAGGCTAAGGCAAGAATTGCATTAGTACAGCTGGAAGAACTCTCCTCGCAAAATGTCTCAATAACAAAGAGTACCCCCTGTTCTCACATGGGTTTTGTTCAGTCCATTTATGCCTGAGATAGGCAATATGCTTTCTTTGATCAGGGGTTTGAGGATAATCTGTTAGAAGCTGCATGCCACTGGTGAATGAAGCTGAAGCTGAATGGGATTGCCTATCTCCCCCACCCACCCAAAGAACCCTTTTCTCTTGGTATCTGCTTCTCCGCACACTCTTGTATCTCCTCCCCACCCCACATTCTTCTGTGTCAGCAAAAGGAGATAGATTACTGTTTCCTGAGGCCCAGGTTGATTGTAGAAAAATGTATTTATTAAACTTGGGAAATTAGGTAGAGATATGCATATGGTCTTGTGACACTACATTATTACCTATCTCTAATTAACAGAAGAGTTTTAGAAATGGTAAGATTTTAGGGACATTGTTAATGTCCCTAAAAGAGGCCTCACTTGTGTGAAAAAAGATTAATATTTTACAAAACCAATAACCCACATTTCTTTGAAGAACTTTATCAAATACTGTAGATCAGCAAGGACAAATACTGTTTTGATATAAATACCTGTGAATTGGGACATGGCAGCTTTGTTACTTAACACTTTGTTAAGTATGCAAACATGATGCACACTCCAAGCTTCATACTCTTCATATGCAATTATAGATCTTGTTTTCAATAAAACTCCTTAGAATCAAGTCACAGAGAAGTCTTGTCAAATACTTTAATCAACACTAAACAGGCAAATGTATAGAAGTGTGAATAAAAAAGGGTGAGGGTCTCACATTACATCCAATTAAATGAAATGTCCTAGTTCATCTGTACTGCTGATTTAACCCATATTCACTTTAACTTAGCTTTAAAAGGTGAATAGCAAAGATGTGCTCAAGTTGTATCAACAGATCTGTCATAATGTGTCCACACTGTACTATCAATCTATCATGGAGAAAGCCAAAGGCTCACTTGAAACACTTGGCTTTGCATATTTTGGTCTGCTTTGATAGATACTATAGTACATTTAAGGAAAGCATATTTGTGCTTAAGCCTCATAATAAATGAGGCAAAGGTTGATACCTGAAGATAACCGGTTACTTGACTCAAAGAGTCAAACCGCTAGGAATGCATTATCTATATTCAATGAATTATGAACCAAAATAATGTCTTTTCTGACCTTTTTTTAAGCTTAGTTGTAAGTAACAATGTCATTTCCAAAGTCGTCTACAACAGGTCATTTCACACAGACAAAGCCAAGAACAAAGGAGCTCATAGATATATAGATATATATATATATCTTTTTGATGCCACTTATCTAACATCCATTTTCAAAATAACGTTATCATAAATCTGTGTATGGAGACAATAATGAACAGCATTTTGAAAAGGAGATTCTATGCAATCTTTCTATACTAGAAAACAGGTGTGATGCAGAGCAGGCAAAGGCAGAATATTCAAATACATGTCAATACAAGGACTGAAAAATTGAACTGATCACAAAACATCCAAGTAGATTAAATTCTCAACAGTAAAATGTTTTTTTAAGGGGAATCTCTTCCAATTTAAGTATCATTAATATAAATTAATCCAGGGTAACTATTTGTACTCAGAAGCAATGGACCCTTTAATCAGTGTCCATGTAGGAGATGCTTCTTCCACTGAGAATTACTATTGTTCTTTATTTGTTGTTAAAAATTACTCTAAGAACTTGCTGAAAATTGAAAATTCATAGTTTCAACCCCGCAAGGAGAAAAGATCCTAAATCACACCCATGACTAAATGAGTATATTTTTCTTGAATGTTGCCCTAAAACCAAGATTTCCAAGAATTCGGCTTACTTAGATAAAATTAATTTATCACAATAGCTCCTCATATTTAACAATATATGTGAATATTATCATGAAAAGGGGGCCAAACTGACCTAAAAGTGATTATTACCATTTCGACTTGTGATAGTTCAATATTTGAAATCATTTCAATGACCTAATTTTGCTACAGCTTTCACTGTAGCAAATAACCCATCAGTGCAATTCATTCCAAATTCTTAGAATCTTCCTTTTGAGTATTTTATTTCACACTTCTATTGGTTATGCTAGAAAAATTCCTATTATATATTTGCTACAATTCTTACCTTCCAAATAATGCAAAATTCATCAATAGAAGAAACAGTATAAAAGTTAAGAAACAAGTTTTTGATGTCCAAGAACTCCATAGTGGTAAATCAATGGAATTAATAGAAAACATGTTTATGAATCCTATGAAATTAGCAACATCGTAATCCAAAACACCTGAATTAAATATCTGGACATTGTGCAATGTGTTTGAGACTATTTTGAGGCTTTGGGTTTACAGAGATTTACAGAGATTAACGGTAACAGATTAACAGCAACAGATTTTCCACAAAGAGAAATGAAGTTACAAAGTCCCAATAAACTATCCTTGATCAAATGATTATACAGAGAATAGGATCAACTCCATTGGACCAAGTCATCACAGTGGTCTTTACCATCTCCCTGCCTCGACTCAATACATTAGTAAACAAATGCAGCTTAACTTCCTTCTGCCTTTTTTTACAACTTCACGGGATTTTGTAAACTTCAACATTGTAACAATATCCAACTGCATGCTGTGTCAACTATACCATTTCTAAAACCCTGAACAAGAATCTTAAGTTTTCATATTATAAACTAAGCAAAATGCTAGCTCAATTCTGTGTTCATAAAAAAAGTAGACACGTGTACACCTATGAACAACTAAAAGAACCAGGGTGGATAAAAATTGATTTTTGAAATTTAAATAAGATTTTTTTAATTCAAATCAGATTTTTTTTTTATTTTCATCAAATTTATTTTAATAAAATGCTTTTGGGGTAAAAATCTATCTAAAGATAGTTTTCTATTTCAGGTACATAAATAATTTAGTTTTATTCATAATGAAATGGAGCTTTGTTATGTAGCATGAGGCTATATATTCTGCAATATTGGGACTGTTGGGGAGTCAACAAAAGGTCAGAGGAAGAGCCACTGCGGGACAGAAATGACAGTTCCTCTTTAAAAATTACGATTTAAATCGAGTTGGTTTTTTATATTGTATTTAAATTGACGTGATTTAAATCAAATCCACCCTGAAAAGAACTAATGAAAAAAATACCTTGTTCAGCAAAATAAAATACACATCAGTCATAGGAATGGGCATCATTTAAAGACAACTTTGTGAAAATTGGGTGCAATTGTTTCCTTCTCAGAGTTTATATGTATGTATATTTTATACACATTTTAGTTTGTATTGTTTAGCAGAGTATGACAATCACGTTTTTAGGCATGATTATACATATAATGATCATAAATCTACAATTACTTTTTCCCAGGCTCAGATTTAGCACTGTAGTTCCAAGATTATGTTATTGCATAATCAGGGTTTGCAAAGGAAATTTTCCCTAGCAAAAAATGAGACAGTTTACCATTTAGAATTAAGAACTCCTGTTACCTTAGATACAATCATAGTGCAAACTGATTTGACGAGTAGATTAATGTATTGATCCTGAGCCTTATTATGCTCTCACAAGTTTTCAAAATGCATCTTACTGGAAGAATCAACATCTTGAGGAGAGGTTTGCCATTTTCAGATAGCAAGCTCATCTCCGAAATTCATCTTCAACCATATATTTACATGCAGAAGATTCTTGTCCTTGGATTCAGAAATCTGTATGAAGGTCTGTTCAAAGAGGAATGTTCAAGAGACATCTCCAGTTGACAGAAAAATTAAAGTAGATCGATGCAAGCAAGAAGAGTATGGTCCAATGCAACCAGATTTCTTCTGCATCGACCTGGATCCAAGGTATAAACAAGTAAGAGCAGTAGAAAACAAGTACAGTGAAGTGAGAGGAATGTCAGGAAGCTGACTCATTTCCACCGACTGTGATTCACAGTGTTTTCTGATGCCCATTTACAGATGACTTTGTTGACTCGGAGTCTCTTGCGTTGTGCGAGAGATGCAGTTTATCTAAACCTACAAAACAGAGACTAAAGTTTATGTTTCATTCCTAACTGGCACTGCACATTATAAAACCAAAGTAGTAACTTGAACATAGTACAACCCTTATCAAGAGAAAAACCTCTGCTTACAGCACAGGAACAATTAAGGTAGCTAATTCCCCGTCTTAAAAAAAGCATTAGGTGAAAGCAACAATTAACTAGAGGCATGGCCAAGAGAAGTCAACATCAATAGGTCCATCCAGTGACTATGGTGTAAAGTGTGTGTGTGTGTGTGTGTGTTTGTTTCTCTGATCCTCTGGTGAAGAAATACTACATGTAGGCAAGGAAGCATAAGATGAATTATCAGAATTAAGTTGAATTTAAGTGTAAGATGTATAAGGTTTCATTTAAAGAAGGGGGATGGATTAGAACTAGGATGGCGAACCTATGTCATGTGTGCCACAGGAACCATTTGTCAAGGCACGTGAGGCATTGCCCTGTCAGCTGGCCAGCGCGCAAGCGAGCACTGGCCAGCTGAGTTCAGCCTTTTTAAAAGCCACTTTTCACCCTCCCCAGGCTCCAGAGGCTTTATAGGAACCTGGGGAGGGCGAAAAAGCCTCCCCTCCCCCGGAGGCCCTCCAGAGTCTTCAGCAGCTTCCCTGAAGCCTCCGGAGCGCGAAAAACCGGCCCTATAGGCAAACCGGAAGTTCAGGAACTGACTTCCGGTTTGCTCGTAGGGTCGGTTTAAGCCCTCCGGAAGCTTTAGGGACCTTCAGAAGGCTTCCCTGAAGCCTCCAGAGGACTAAAAACGACCCTACAGGCAAACCCTTGTAGGGTCATTTTTGCCCTTCGGAGGCTTCAGGAAAGCCTCTTGAAAGTCCCTGAAGCCTCCGGAGGGCCTCCAGGGGGGGCAGGGGAGCTCTTTTCGCCCTCCCCAGGCTCCTATAAAGCCTGTGGAGCCTGGGGAGGACAAAAAAGCATGTAAAAAATGGGGGGAGTGCCTCTCATGCACACTTGGGGGGGTGTCACACGTTGCATTATGGGTGCGACACGCCCACGCACGACCCCTCTGCGCTCCTCCCACTTATGGAACACAAGCCAAAAAAGGTTCACCATTGCTGGATTCCAAGATTTCTGTTTCTCTGTTAGTTATAAATGAAAGAGCTAAAATGAATCTCAAAGAGTGCATGAAATCCATAGGTTGGTGATAGCGTGGAGTAGTATTGGTAGAACCACCAGAGATACGTTTTGGAATAATCTACAACTACCTAAATGAACTTAAAACTGCCTTTCCCACTGGGATGGAAAGGGGTTGTTTTCTTAGGTGGGCAAAATGGATTTTTTTTGGGGGGGGGGGAGACAGAATAAGGTGGGAGAATGGCACTGGGAGCATCTGCTTAGAAAAGAATCTGCTTATTTCAAATAAGTAAAACCAGGTCTATAGTATTTACATACAGACAAAGGAAAGGTAAAGGAATATAAATATAAACATGATTGATTCATTATAACAAATAATAGAGAATTAATGATGTAATGTAAAACAAGCTATAGTCACATCTCCAAATTATATGCAGGTAGTCCTCAACTTACAATAGTTCATTTAATGACCATTTGAAATTACAACACTGAAAATAATGACTTATGATCATTTTTCACACTTATGACTGTTGCAGCATCCCCATGGTCATGATTTATATTCAAATAGTTGACAACTGATTCACATTTATGACGGTTGCAGTGGTCCTGGGGTCACGTGATCACCTTTTGCAAACTTCTGAAAAGCAAAGTCAATGAGGAAGTCTGGTTCACTTAACAACTGGGTTACTAATTTAACAATTGCAGTGATTCACTTAACAAATATGGCAAGAAAAATGGTAAAAAGAGACAAAACTCACAACAAATTTCTCAATTGGCAATATAAATTTGGGGCTCAATTGTACTGTGTTTCCCCGAAAATAAGACAGGATCTTATTTTCTTTTGACACACATCTCCCCTTCCCAAAATAAGCACTTGGCCTTATTTTCGAGGATGTATAATTATTTTTGATGTGCAGGAGGCGAGTGTGGTCACCTCATGGCTGCTGCTGCTGCTGCGGTGCAATATTTTCGGGGAAGGCTTATTTCAGGGGAGGGCTTATTTTAGCGCATGTGCTCAAAAGCCCGATTGGGCTTATTATCCAGGGAGGTCTTATTTTCAGAGAAACAGAGTAAGTTGAGGACTACTGTATACATGATTTTTTAAAAACCTAGAGTAAATACTGTAGATGACTTCAAGTACCTTTGTAGAAAATATATTAAAGATGGGGAAATAGTTAAAGAAAATTTAAGACGTAAAATGTTGGTGCATAAGAGCATGCTGCATACATGTCTTTTATTATTTATTCTTTTTTCATTTTCACATTTTTGAACAACCTTCTTCCCTTAGACAGGGACTCTGGCTTGTGTACAATAGTCTTAAAATATAAAAACAGCATCTAGGAATTTTAAAAAAAATTAAAATAGAATTTAAAAGGGGCAAGGATGATTGAACCCTGTTAAATATAAGTAATTTATTACTAATAAATGTATATGGAGGTGAGAGTTGTATATGAATCAGAATTCAATGTGAATGAGGAATAAGGTGGAAAAAGAAGTGACAGATGAAGAATAAAGAGGGAAGTGGATGTTAGCAGATTGAATATAAAAGTGAGTACAGTTAGTCTTCAACTTACAACCATTTGTTTAGAGACCGTTCTAATTTACAACGGCACTGAAAAAGGGGACATGGGCAGTTTTCACACTTATGACTGTTGCAGCATCCACATAGTCACATGATCAAAATTCAGACACTTGGCAACTGGCACATACATATGACAGTCTCACCGTCCTAGGGTCATGTGATTCCCATTTGCACCATCCCAGGGTCATGTGATTCCCACCTTCCCAGCTGGCTTCCAACCAGCAAAGTCACTGAAGGAAAGCAAGATTCACTTAACAACCACGTGATTCTCTTAGCTACATGCCCTTTTATTTTATTTTCTTACCTTTTATTTCTTTGGGGTTTTTTTATGTTGTGGTCCTGTTCTGGGCAATATTGCCAATATTGACAGGAAACGTAAGAGCATGCTTGTAGGTTATAGCATGTTCTGTATTAGCTATCTTTAAAAATAATTTGAATGCAGATTCTAGAGAGTATTACTGAGACCTTGTATCGCAACAGCTAAATTGGCTATTGGTCAATTTCAAGACAAAGTTATCTGAAAAATCATTTTGAGCCAACTGAATTTTCAAGGCCTTAGGAATGGCCATATTTTGCATTATGCCAAATTTCTTAAGCAGATGTGGCATGAATCTTTTTGGAGTTGAGTTTGGTCCCAAATATGATTTCTTCTACCAGCAAAACATTCATATTCAAGGAGGTGTTACTAGTTGATTTCTTTTGAATAAAGAGTTTGGTTACAAATTTCACCGTACTTAGACTAAACTAATTTCTCATAAAAAGTGTAAGATCTAAGATCTCATAAGGCATCAATGCAGCTAACTAGTATGCAGATGCACCGCAGGAAATAGCTAGGAACTATTTAGGCCCACTTCCTGCCAACATGATAATGATTCAGATCTAAAGGCTGAGAAGACAGTATTATGATGGCCTGTAACATCTCATTTTTCAGCTTGTTATTTGGGTATGACCCAGTTTGAAGGTCAAGGGAAGACAGTGGTTTTGCCCAAGCACCTAATATCACTAGGAATCAGGCAGCATGTATTTAGATTATGACTGATTGATCAATGATGGTGGTGATAGTGAAATTCCACTCGCTGGCAGAATCCTCTAAGTTGACAATGGATCTAAAAAAGTGACACTGGAAACCCTAAAGCTGAGTGCTGACATTGGTAATCACAGAATATCAGTCAGATGGAGGACTTTCTTATCAGCTTCAACTGATAATAATTGATTGGCGGGGTCTAGGAAGAGAGCTTTCTCTGCCGTTGCTCCTACATTGTGGAACAGCCCATCTCCAAAATGAGGTGAAAAAGACCCCAACTTTTTCACCCAACTCGCTTACAGAAGACTCTGGACTCTTAAACTGTAAATGGGACTGAGGATACATTCATTAAGTTTATTCTTCATTCTCCACAGCAGAGTCAATCGTGGAACAAACTTCCCAGTTTCATTAGAATTGTGGGGCTAAAAACTTAATTAACCAAGACTTTCAATATTTTAAGGTTATGAGTGCTAAATATTACAATGAATTTTACTATCTTTACTAATTTTATTGATGTAGTTTATCTGCCTTGCTTGAATTTTTTTTTATTTTTTATTTTATTACTATCTGCTTCGAGCAGTTTCTACCTGGTCGAAAGAAGGATATAAAGGTTACCATTTGTTTCTGAAAAGTAAAGAGAAAGAAACTGTGTGCATTAATGTGTGTGTGCACCAGCGCATGTTTGAATGTGTGCATGCACACATACTCAATGTATGCTATGAATTTCCCTATCAAGTAGACAATAAACAGATTTGAAATCAAGCTTTATACAGGGAACAGAAAAGAACTTAATAATTAATCAGTCTTCCTAGCACAACCACGTTGGTAACCTCTAGCACAATTTCAAGTGTATAAATGTTAAAAAAAATACTATCATAAAAGGAAGAGAAAGTGGATTACCTAATGCTTTGAGGAGTTCTTCTCTAACAGTAGAGGTGAACTTTCTCACCAGGCACAGGGTTGTCATGATAGCAAAAAGAAGATTGTAGGACAATACTATGTAGAAGTTTCCTAACCAGTTAAACCTTCCAAAGTCTCCAAGGAGATCAAACCTGGTGATGCCTAATAGAGGGTGAGGGGAGAATATATTCATAAAGTTTGTACAGATACTTAGGAATTTTAAAACAATCTAATACATGGAATATAACTCTTCACATAAAATTTGATAAAGCAAATTTAAACTTCGGGTATTTATACGCTCTAATTTTTCCTTTTCATCACTATTTTAAACTGCACTTCAAAGATATTGTCTACCAAACCAGAAAAAAAACAATATCACAGCAGTGAGTGTATTTATTTCATAAAATTGAATGAGATAGTCCACCGGGCCAAGAAAGAGCATAAAGGAAAATATTGATAATCTGCATAGCTTATTATCTTCCAAAAGATCTTGTCAGATCTCTGATGCTTATAAATGCTTATAAAGATTAATTCTGCATTCAATAAATGAAGAATAAAAGGGATTAAAAGGGAAATTTTGGAAATTTTGAGGAAGAAAGGAAGGAAGGAAGGAAGGAAAGAAAGCGGAGGGAGGGAGAGGGAGGGAGGAAGGAAGAGGAGGGAGAGAGAGAGAAAGAAAAAAAAAAAGAGGGGGGGGAGGGAGGGGGGGAGGAAGGAAGGAAAGAAAGCG